AACAGTGTTAAACTGACTACGCACACCTTCTTGGCAGGCCTGTGCTCTGCTGAGCGCATACTTTATTAACAGAATTACTGACAAAATTCTTCATTCCATGTTAACAACAAGCAGTCCTGATTGAGCGTACATTAACTATTAGAATTGGTGGTGCTGATCATGTACACAAGGTGGTGGAGTGTTTATGGTTGAGAGTGTGTTTCAACCACAAAGCCTGTCTCACGTGGGTAGCCATGACTGAGTCAGTTAGGAAGAAAAAGTAGCCTCACATTCAATCTGGAAGGTTCAAATTTTAACAACGATCAGACTTTTTACTATATAAACATAATGGCCAGTAGTATGCACATTTAAAATGCTTTCAGCTCGTAGAAAAGTCCGTTCATTAAAAAAAAACTCTGCTAATAGAAAACCTTTCAACATGGGCAAATTAGTGTAGAACGCACTTTCCACTGTTTTCCAACAAATGTTTGGTCGCACACTTGCTGCTCTGCAGCCACCTGGCAGCATCTAGCAGAGCCGCATGTGAGGCATTTAGGGAACATTGGTTAAATGTAGCATCTACCCATGGGCGTTTTCAGCAATTGTTTAGCCTGTGTCCAGTTAATGACTGATATCAGAAGAGGATTGGTGACAAAATAAATATATTTTCAGGTTAAAAATTTTTACAGATATCAAGTCTTGCATCACTGAAAATCACTGCAACATCACTAAGTCATGCAAAAACAGCTCTTCATCAGCTGCATGGTGGATTCATAGCTGTGGCAATGCTGATCCAAAATAAGGGAGTGGGGTGATCAAATCATTAGCTGGTGCCACCAACAAAGAAAGTTGGTAGCACCAGTGTTGCTATTGGAAAAGTTAGTTTGGAGCCCTGTAGCAGAATCGCCAAGTGCAAGAAGCCCCATACAATAGCTGAGGATCTCATACTCCCCACTGCTCTTGGTATGGTGTCAACAATGACTGATGAGACAACCACGGCAAAATCGAAGGCTATCCCCCTTGTTACTTTTACTGATCACTGAGCGTGTTGTTACGTTGTTGCACTATTTGACTGCTCATGATATTTATTTATTTCAGCAAATTGAAACTGGCTCATTTCATGGCTATTTAAGGCGAAGGGGGGCCTGAAAATGTTTTGTCCTCCGAAGGGGGACCTGACAGAAAAAGTCTGAGAACCACTGCTTTAAGCTCTCTCTCTCTCTATATGTGTGTGTGTGTGTGTGTGTGTGTGTGTGTGTGTGTGTGTGTGTGTGTGTGTGTGTGTGTATGTATATATGCTAATTCAACAGCCAGATTTTTACTTATTAACATGTCCCACAGGATGTCTTTGACATATTTAACAGCAAAAGCTCTCCTAAAGAAGTTTAAGTACATTTGATCTAAGGCGTTTACAAGGGTGATAAGAAATGATATGATTGATGATAGCTGGTGCTGAAACCCTGCTGAGTGTTGTAAATTGTAATTCACTTTAGTGGGCCACCACAGAGTGGGTGCTGACCTGAACATGGTGGACCTGCAGCATGGAGAAGAGCTTGTTGAAGCAGGCACTCAGAATGGGGATGGACGAGGGTTGGACCATCAGACTGCTGCCTGGAGGAGAGCCTCCTCCGTGGAGAGCTCTCAGCAGAGAGTCATCAGTCCCATTGGAGGCCTGGCTCACTGGAAGTTAGACAGAAAGCAAAACTTGTAGCTACGATATACACTGACTGGTTTATATCCAACGAATCACTGAGTAAATTAATTTGTCTGGGTTGCTGAGCACTTGGGATTCTCATTATGACAAGCATCTGTTACATGAAAAAAACGTCCAAGCTTATTTGGTGCTGTGTGGGTACCTGTGGATGAACTTGAAGTGAGGGCCTGAAGAATGGAATCGGCCTGAAGAGTTGCCATCATTTTGAGCATCAGCTCCGCCTGCTGCTCCAGGCCTACTTCTAGCCGGGCATCCAGTGCTGTTAAACAGAGACACAGGGGTTCAAAGGTTAGATGGAAAAAGGTCCAAAATTCACAGAAGTCAGCACAGAAAAGAAAAATATATTTAGGAAAATTTGGGCCTTTGCTCACCCTGCGACACGGAGACTGATAGACCCTGTGACCCGGGCTTTTCAGCAGCAACTGGAGGTTTGGATACTGGGATACCAACCCCTCCAATGTACGGGTTGTACCCGTATGTGCCATAGTCAGCACCCCAGTAGTCATACCAAGTGCTGCTTATAGGCTGAGGATGAACATGAGAAGAAAGAGAGATGACAAACATGAGGGCTACAATGAACTGACATTTGACCATCATTTTATTCATTTCTACATTTTCCAAAAATGTTCATCTTGTTGTCACTGATGCCAACAGTAGTTCAGAACTGAACTGAAGCTTAAGCAAGAGAAAATCTGACATTAATAATCACACGAACACACATAAAAACATTTTAAAAATGGATCAGAAATGTAATTCTAACAGTTAATGTGAGACATTTTATGTAAAATGTGAAATCCCATTTCAGTGGGGTTTGAGGGAGTTATTTTGCTGAAATATCAAAACTTTTGTACTGATCTCAGAATCTCATTCATCTGCTAGAAGAGGCTTATAGAACTAACAACACTTAAACTGGTAGATCTATTATTTGCAACTAATCAATACATGGTCAGACCAATGTCGATATCCGCATTTTCCATTTAACACAAACTGACAGATTTCTGGTACTTGTTTACCACAAAAGATAATTAAAATGTGTTTTTCATTGTAACACTATGACTTTATCTCACAAAAACAAAATCATCTTGAAGATACCGCAACTTAAATGTGAAATTATAACTTTGTTCAACTTTATTTTTGAAATACTACAGCATTTTAGCATATTTCATATCTCATTTGCCTAATATTGTAACCTTTCCCTTCAAGCACTCACTGGCTTTGTTTTTAATAAACCATTATTTACTGAGTGTACAGTTTTGTCTAACATGTTAACAAGTGTTGGCTGCTCTATGCTGGCTCACAGGTGTAGCTACATGGCTTTAAATACTGACAGACAGAATGAGAGAGAAGAACAGGGTGTGGTAAGAAACATACCTTAAACACTTTGGCAGCGAGTGGATCTTTTTCCAAATCAATATCTAAAGGATCAATATCAACATCCATCAGGTCTTGTAGCAAGTCAAAGTCTATGTCTTTATCTTTTTCCAAAGATGACAGAGGTGGAGCACCTTTGGGTAATGAAAACAGCTTTAATATTGCCAAGCAAGCACACTAGAAAAACATACAAGCAAGAGAAACTCTTTCTGTAGCACGTTACTAGGCAATTTTAACGCCGATCCAGGAAGTACTACAGCTCCTATACTGCTACAGGAGGGAGAATCCAGACACAAGTAATGATTTAAATCAGTTTTTTCCTTTAATGGTGTCTCTAGTAAAAATAATTTGGTAAACCACAACTTAGGTTTGTCCAATACAAATCTAGCTATAAACTAGTCAAACAGGCCAAAAAGACTCTACTTTAACATGTCTGAATTCCCACTCCAAAAAGCAGCAATAATCATAATATTAAAAAGAAACATACTGTGGAGAAAAACTGTAAACATGCAGCCATGAAAAAAGGGGAAAACACCCAAACAAACACTTTATATTGTCATGGTACAAAGTGTGGGTTCATATCAACGTCTGTGTGGTGTTGTGGAAAGTGTGGAGAATGGTCAGGGCTACCCACGCACTTTGGAATACTGAGGAGGTCCCGGTAGTACCTGCGATGATATCAGGCACCAGGGCCTCGTCAATGCTCTCTACCAACGGTATAGGTGCTGGCTGGGGCAGGGAGTCATCTGAATCTGCCCCTGCTGAGGAGGACGATGCCCCAGCCTCCTCACCTACCACCTCATCCATGACATCCAGAGAGCCGGGAGACAGCAGTTCACCTACGAAAACAGTTAGTTTACGCTGCAGTCCAAGAAAAATGCACCACTTTCAGGAACAGCATGGTCCCAGGGCACTCAAACACCAAACATGTAACACAGCATTACATACAGAACCGAGGACATTTTATTCAAATCTTGCACTGTACTGTAACTGCACTTAGATTGTTTTATAATCTTGTTTAATATGTCTGATTATGTTCTACATCACTATTTGCTGAGATACTTTTTTTTTAAGTTATTTTTTTGGCCTTTGTGCCTTTATTGGATAGTGTTAGTGAGAGAGAGATAGGAAAGTAGGGGAGAAGAATGGGGGGAGGACATGTGGGAAAGGGTCATGAGCGGGATTCGAACTCATGACCTCCACATTGGGACTGTCGCCCTGCACATGGGACGCCAGGTCAACCAGGTGAGCTATAGTGGCGCGCTGCTGAGATATTTTCTAACCACATGGTGGTGCTCGAGCAGAAGCCAGGGGATCACTAAAATCATAAATTTCACCTCAAAAGGTCCTGTTTATCTGCATAGGTTTCATGACAACAGATCCAGTCAGAGTTAAGAGAATGTTGGTCAAACCGACAGCCAGCCGTAAGACTAGAAATAGTAGAAACTAATGCAATAACTGAATGTTCACAAAATAATATCTAATTACAACAAAAAGTTCAAATAAAACTCATTAGTAATCCTACACATGACCCTTTAGGTGGTGCATCAGACTAATTTTAATGTGGCATATACTCTTCTAATAAGAGTTTTAAAAAAAATACAAAGTGAGTTAATATGGAACCTGCAAACCACAAGCAGCGAAGTTGAAGCTACATATAATGATTATTTTCTTTACTGATTAATCTACCTGCTATTTTTGCTAACTAATCAGTTAAATGATAAAGTTCCCTTCCTTCGACTTTGTCATGTAAAGAAGCTCAAATGTGCTCAGGACATGCAGGAGTAGTGTTGTGTGGCGCACACCAAGCCACTTTATTGCCACTTTATTTATTTCCAATTTACCAAGTCTGTGTACAAACACTTGTAAGAATTAAATGAGTACTGCTTTTTTTCTACAAAAAAATGTCTTAATATAAATATTCCATCAAAACAGTTAATTGATTTTCTGTTAATAATCCAACTCATCTTTTTAGCTCCATAATCTGAAAAGTATTGAGAGCACAGATTATTCCACATTTGAATAGTCCTCTGCCAATCAGGAGACCGCGAGGGCAGACCAAAATAATTCCCTAACGTTCAAAAAGATAAACAGTAGCTCAACTGGATAAGACCCACAAACAGCGACTCGATGTGGCGGTCATGGGATCGACTCCTGACCACGGCTATTTGCTGCAGATCTTTCCCCATTCTTCTCCCCCCTTTCCTGTCTCTGTTCTGATAATGAAGGCAAAAGCCAAAAAGAAAAATCATTTAAAAAAAGATTAATAAGACAAGTTTCAGTAGAATATGCTGCTCTAAAGCCACACATAAACTCAAACAACAATTTGTGTTAGACTGAATATTTTTTGGACCTGATCAAACACCACCAGTCAAAAATCTCGAGCCCAGGGCTACGCAAACACACTGTTCATCAAGTCCAAACAGATGTGATACAACACACAAGCAAGCAAACTAAACACACCTGCCAAAATGTCCTGTAGCATACACGTGAGGGAATACTGTGCCCAGGCGCCCCCCCAGGAGATGTCTCCCCGGTTGAAGTCCGTCCCCACAAGCAGGAGCAGCAGGCGTTCCAGCTGCTGCTCAGACACCACCTCACACAGGTGGATTGTGGGTCTTGTGGCATTGGCTATCCTAGCAAGGACCTAAAAGGGTGAACAAAAATATGTTTAATGGTTCTATACAACTTCCTGAATTTAGAAACACATACAAGGGTCCGATGAATACCTTGCAGACAAAGAGCAGCAGGTCAGCATGACAGGTGAAGTCCATAGAGAGGAGGAAGAGGGCCAGCTTCTGCACCACAGAGATGCAACGTTCATGGGACAGTGTGAAGGGCAGAGGTTCTACTTCCGGGGCTTCTTTGGCTGTTGTGGACTCTGTGTCCAATGTGGAGCGGGGCCATTCGGCTGTCCGTCGCAGACGGATCAGGTCTTTAAAGTGCTGGAAGAGGAAGTAAGAGTTAAAGAAATTGTCGGACATAAATATAGTTCTAAGTTCAAAAGGGCTTTATTGTCATTTCAGCCACATACAGCTGTACAGTACACACTGAAATGAGACAGTGTTTCCCAGATCCAGAGCTAAGGTGCTACATGCAACAACAACAATGAACATTTAACAAGACGTATGCAGAGCTACATGCGGAGACCCTGGGTTACGGCTGAAATGTTGTAAAGACAGAATTTAGAACCTTTTCTGCACACTGATGGCAAATGAGACCCCTGGATTCCACAGACCTCAGAGGGTTCTCATGGTATCAGGTACCAGTACATTAACAGTTGGATCAGACTTGTTTTTTTCAGCAGATCCCACAAATGTTCAATCAGATTAAGATCTGTGGAATTTGGAAGCCAAATAAACACCTTGAACTCTTTGACATGTTCCTAAAACCATTCCCAGACAATGTTTGCAGTGTGGCAAGACATTACTGCTAACAGGGAGTACCACTGAAATGATGGGGTGTACGTGGGCAGCAACAATGTCTCAGAAGAGGGCATGTGCCAACTTGGCATCCACATAAATGCCTAGCCCACTGGTTTGTCATTTTCCTTGGTGAAATCACCTCTTTAGGTAAACGATGCACTCGTACCCAGCATTCACAGGACCAGGATAGTGTTTTTCACTGCTCCAGCGTCCTGCACCAACTCTAGCTGTCTCTAACTCTAACGAGATGAGCTTCTCACCTTGGATGTGGCTTGTTTGAGCTTGGCCTGTTCCACCAGCAGTTTGTAGGAGGAGCCTTTGTTGCTCTGTATCTTCTCCTTTTCGATCTGCTCCACCAGAGCTTTCTGTTTTGCTTTCAATAGATTTAACTGCTACAATGAAAAGGGCACGATAAATATAAGCACTGCAAAAGCATTGTCATTTTAGTTTTATCATGGATAGCACATTAAAACAATCCCTTCTGTAAATCTAGCAGGCAGAGTTTCACATATGAAGCTGTACTTTCCGATTTAAAAAAACAAACATGCAGATGAGTCGGTTTTGGAATGAGACACATTTACCTGTTTGTGATGGACGAGCTGCTTGCGGATCTTGCGTGAATAGAGGCGGTCCAGGCTGCTGCTGCCTTTAGCTGACCTGCTGGAATTCTGAGACTGAAGGCTGTTGTTGATGAAGCTCCACTGAATACCTGAGGGATAAAAACACTGCACATTACTGGAGGCAACAGAACAAGCATGAATTACATAAACATTAGTAACTCAAATAACTTTTCAACCTCACTACTCTCATTTAAAATATAGTTATTCTGTGATATTTATTTAGATTTTTTTTCTGTTAATAAAACCTTTTAATATGTTCAGGCTATTTTGAAAAATAGATTTGCTAGGATTTTTCTTTTGGTGTTCATTGATGACTTTATTTGACAGAAGCAATGTAGCTGGACAGGAAACATGGGGGGAGAGAGCAAGGGAGTGACGTGCAGTGAAATTAAGTCTGACTGAGGACTCGCTGCTAGCATTTGCACCCATGTGATATAAACCCAAACTACTAAGCTTCAGACCTCATTATTTTGAAAATGTCTAATTTCAAAAGGTGCTTAATGTTCAAAACTAGCACCTCTAATCTGAATGACAGGTGAACAGTGTAAAATGGCTATCAATAGCATGACATGAGCTATTAAAGAATACGCAATTTTTCACTCAGTGAATTTCACAATTTTAAGTTCCTGAAGTGAAATAAAAAATGTACATTAAAATGTTTTAGAGAAAAGCTTAAATAAATCATAAAGACATTTTTAAGGAATTACACAGTTCACATACCTGTTAAAGGTCTCTCCCGTTCTTTGCCTCCTAGGTGCTTCTTTCCACCAGAGGCCTCATCTTCAATACTGGCAACATAGTCCAACAGCCTGGAAACCAGCATCACTACCCAGCTGATCATGGGAATATCCAAGACACCTACAAAACACAGGAACACGCACTCTCATGTCACTTCAGTGTCTGTGAAATAAATAAATGTAAATGACCACATTCACAAAGACGTAGCACGATGTGTAACATCTGTGTAGGAATATCCCATCAAGTTAATATTGTTAGATGCCCAAAATGACACAAGTCTGGAACTGTTGCCTCAGCATATGTACACCTGTCACACTGACAGCTGCTTTACCTTCAGTACGGCGCTGCGCAGCAGCTTGTGGCTGCTGCAGTGGAGACAAAAGGCTGTCAAGGAGGTTTAGGAGGCCCTCCAACACACCACTGTTACTCAGGGATCTTTGGCCAATGCAGGACAGGAGCATGAATACCCTGAAGTAAAGAGAGATGGACAACACTGCAGTGAATTCCTGCACCTTCCACACACCTGGATATGAACTTGAAACCCAGCTGTTTCAGAGACATCAGAGAGGTCAGAGAGGTCCAATGGGTTACAGAATCTATGCAGCTCCAGCTCCCAAATGCACGAGTAGACAATTCAAACTGTCCAAAATAATGACCAAGAGCTGTACCATGGTGCAATAAAACACTTTCGCAGTTCTTGGACTTGGAATCTCTGCAGCAAACTGCTTTTTGTGCTGAGCTAAGGCATCTGGCAGTGCCGTAAGGGAAAAGTCTGTGAAGCGGGTTTTCAGGCAACTCACATTAAACAGATACAAATAATAATGATCACCCTTTCCTTAACAATAAAAATAAACATTCACCTCTGTCACTTTCAGAAAAATAACAATAATAGAGTCGTACTGGGGGAAAAAATATGGCATTTGGTATGATTCAAGCCACTGCGTCAGATTTATTAAAATGTCTTTTAAGCACTGAGAAATGACTGAAAGTGCATAATTGGTACCATTACCTTGCATGATTTTTTAAGAACTTAAGCAAATAGGGATTAATAATATAGACTCTACAGTTCATAACCAATTGATCACTGTATGAATCACTATGGCTTTATAGTGCCATTAAACTGTGGGCTGAAAGGATTCATGAGTCACAAGACTAAAGAAGACGATCACTGTCTTATCACATCCAGTACATGCCTAAATTGTTTTCTGTGAATCTCTCATGTTAATCTCTCTAGGTAAAATCTACACAGAATGCAGGGTAACTGCGTAGCATCTAATGGCTCCTACCTGTCCTGGGGAAAGATGAGCAGTTGTTCAGAGTTGTAGAGCTCCTGCAGCACATTGGAGAGGAACTGGCCCCACCAGCGCTCGCCTCCACAGAGCTGCACCAGCAGCAGGCCCGCGTGAAGACGGATCTTAGGCGTCCCACTGATGCAAAGGTGTTTGAAGAGCTCCTCACAGGCCTGGGCATGGAAGGTACTCTGAAGCACTGAGGGCACAGAATGGCCTGAAAATATAGAAACAGATAAATGACTGAACGGCTTACCAACAAAGTTAAGCAAAACTGTTGTATGAATGGACAGACAACCCCCAAAAAATGCCTTTGGTGTTTGCTGTCACCACAGCAGAGGCACAAAAATCCAAGCATTTCCATGCATTCACATTTCAATGTCATCTTCAAACTATAACACTTGATGGGCTGGCATGATCCAGCCTTGTCCGGCTCTCTGCTTACCATTGTTGGAGTGCAGCAGGCTCAGCAGTGTGTCCAACAGGTAGCGGATGATAGTCCTCAGCTGCTCTGTGGACGAGTTGTGAACCAGTTCCTGGGCCTCCGGAGCACCACCTGTGGGGAGCGACTTGCGGCTGGCGCCTAGTGATACGCGCAGCCGCTGGACGGCATGGTGAGCCAGGTTGAGTTGCAGCTGCAGCTGGATGCAGTCCTGGTAGGCTGAGAAAACACGCTGGTCCTCCTCCACCACCTTGTCTGGTTTACGTAAGAAGTACTGGGCATTGTTGGCACTGTTGAGAGGCGGCAGGTCGATGTTCTGCAGAAGGGTCTCCAGCCGATGGCAAGCGAGATTGTACCTGGAGAATGAGAACAAATGAGGGTGTGGTAATTAAAGTGGAGAAGAAGCACCACCTCTGGATTTGAATCCCATCAGGACAGATTCATGAGCACAAAGTAATTGTGAATGCCAAATTCTGGTTTTGAGCAAAATCAGTTTAAACTCTTTAACAGCTGTTGTTACTTATTTTAAAAAGGCAGGGCTTTTGAAAACACCAATTATATGTTTATAGTTAAAAGCAGCAGTAATTTATCTTTGCAGTTGCATCCAGGAAACATAGAGCAACATTAGCAGTCATTTGGATGTGTGTTTTCCAGTCTGCTCCTGAAAGAAGTGTCTGGTTATTATGCAGCTAAATATGCTAATCTGCTTACCTACTCTGTCTGGTGTATCGCAAGTCTATTACAGAAACACTGGGAACCAAAGCTGTGAAGTCTTTTAACATAATCCAAAAAAAAATTTCAAAGTTTCTCCAAATGATGACCTTTGTTTTTTCACCAATGCCTGAGAAAATAACTTATCAAGTCAACAGATTTTGAGGCTGTTTAGGGAAAGATCAGTCAAATCTTGTGATGTAGCTGATGTATGACAATGGCAGAGTTTCTTTAAGTAATGTCTCACCTGCACTGAATGTCCTCCTGCAGCGCCACCATCATGGTCAAGTGCTGATCCACATCCGGCTGACTGGCTGCCTCGCTCTCTCCCCGCAGGGGATCGTGCATCAGTTTAAGCTCACTCTCCCATGGCAGGATGTAAGTGTGGCCATAGTAGAAGCCCAGTGGGATCTTGGCACGCGCATTGGTGCTGCCATAACGCCCAATCACAGTGATCTTAGAGAGCACAGTGTACAAAGACAGAAATAAGCCTTGGATATATCACTGCGGTAGACTGTAATAGCACAAAAATGTAAACAAGGGTTTGCAACTCTCCCAAGAAAAATACAAACAGACCTTCATGAACCTGCAGACAGGTGGTGGCAGCAGGTCGTGCAGAATGAGGGAGTGGGTGCTGATGTCGGTGGCCACCACCAGCCTGCGGCCATCCACCTCCTCACCCAGCGTCCAGATGTCTATGGACAGCGAGGCCAGGTCACCACAGGTCGGGATCAGAGCATCAGTCAGCAGAACAGGACGGCCGAAGTCCAGCGTGACGAAGCGACGAGCTCCTGGGGAGAAAACACAGATGAAGGACAAAGTTTATTTTATAAACATTTATACTTTATAAATCATTTATAAACATGATAGCTCGCTTTTCCAATGATAAATGTACGAGTCTATATACACAGACATTTTCAAGTGCATTTTAGCTGGTAAATATGGATTATAGCTACATACCAGAGTGCATCCGCTCAATGATGATGGACTGGTGTGGAGGAGGCTGCAGGAAGTGAGATGCCTGGGAAATGGCCAAAGCCAGACCACTGCCCATAGGGCTCTGGGGCAAAACAATAAAGAAATGAATAAACAACCTGTTTTAGTTCAAAGAGAGGTCTCTGTGTACTATTACTTGCCCTGCCCATGTAGATAAAAATCCCTCTGCTTTGGTCAATCTGACATTATTTCACCTTACTTTGAATTCCCTCAGGTACAAATTGTGCTATACAAATAAACCTGCCTTGCTTTGCCTTGTCGACAATATTTTTTCAGTGTTATCATTGGAAATAAAACCCACAGTGTGAAATGTTTTAGTGTAGTTACATTCATGTGTATAATCTTTACGGTTTTGTTTTCTCTCTCTTTATTTTTTAATAGAATGTGACTGTTTCTGTGTCCAAACCGTAATTGTCCTCTGAAAGAAAGCCTGTCTCTTTTTCTTACAGAGGTGATAATATTTCTAGTGCATTAGTTTATCAAATTTTATATCATCAAGCTCTAATATCCCATTCTTTCTTTCTATTTAAAAAAAAAAAAAAGGCAAAGTTAAGCATGAATCTGACCAGATATTTGGTTCCTGCTTTTGGTTGCACTTAAGAGTCAACACCCAGTTCTACATAAAAGAAGAGTCAGCTGTCATAATTCAGAGGTCGTTGGCAACTAACCAAGTATGAAGCTGCATGTTACTAACCGGCTTGGCTTTCTGTGTGTTCTTGGGTGCAGCCAGGTTGACAGGCCCGGGGTCCATCATGGAACCAGGGAACAGGTGAGCCAGCTCAGCACTAAAGGCCGCAGACACCGCCTCATTGGGCGGCGTGAGAGGAGGGGTCATGAAAAGAGGTGTAGTTTTCGGTGTTGGTGGGATGACATCAGAGGGGTGAATGAAGAAGCCTGGAGCAGATGAGGGGTTTGAAGGCACAGAGTTGTGGATGGGTCCTACACCAGAGGCGGCGGCGGCAGCTGCAGAGGTGGTCTGATGCAGCTTAGCCTCCAGCTTGGCCTTCTGTTCCAAGCACGGAGAAAGAGATATTATAAACCACGAGACAAACACCAGACTGGTACTAGAGCAGCTTAGCCACTTTAAGAAAACATTTGTACCTAGACTCAGTTTCAGTTGGAATTTTTTTCCATATTTTACAATTGCAAATAAACACAAGTGAAAGCGCAATACTGACTTCAAAGTCAAACACAAATACTGATAACATCCTAAAAATGAAATTAGCATGAATTACACTGTGTTGTCATGGTTTAAAAAAAAAAAAATTAAAAAGAAACAGGAAAAAATAGAACAGACAGAGAAGAGGAAACAACAACTTCAGACACCAGTTTGTTAACAGAAATGGTCTGTAAATGGTGATGTCATCTCATTAGTGTTTAAATTTAGTTTCAGGAGCTTGTTCCCTAAGTGGGAAGAAAACAGTGGAAATAAAAAGAATGGGTGACAGTGATTGAAGAGTCAAAAGGCGCTATGTGACAGTGACTTGGTAATTCACCTGCTGCTGCAGCTTCAACAACTGCTGCTGTTTTTCCTGGAGGACCTGCAGCTGCTGCTCTGCTGACACCATGGCATGAGACAGCGACTGGAGCGCCACCTGAGCCGCAGAGCTCAGAGCTGTAGAGGCTTCACCGACCGTTCCTGTCGACAGTCCTCCCACCGCCGGCGTCACGCCAAACGTACTCACTGGAGTAAAAGAGCACACATTTAGGGAAGGACCAGCTCGGTTTCACCAGTGGAACAGTGAAAACTTGAGACAAGGCAGAGTTAAATTATATATGGTTCACCAGTGAACATGCTGGCATCATCTCGTTCCACCCGTGTGCCGTCACTGGTGGAGATACAAGTAAAGTGCAAAGGCTCCACCTCCAAGAGTCCTGTTAAGGCTGTGAAGCTGCCCTCTGCTGCTGCACAGCTGCTCACTTTTCCATTCCCTGCAAGACACCCAACACCCAAACCAAACAGAAAAAAAGATTCAAGAAAACATCAAAGCTTCTCCTCTGTTGGACTCCTTAAAAACAAATATTAAGCTCTCTGTAGCTTTACAATATATATATATTTTTTAAAAATACAGTTTAGAAATAAATAAATCATGTCCAACAAACTATGGCATTTTAGTGCAATCTCAACACAAACACCAGCACCTACATCTCACAAAGCTGCCAATCAGCTCAAGTGTAGCTGACATTTATCAAATACTATGATATTATGCACTAAAACTAAATCACATTAAATTGCCCTAGTAAGTGCTTTCTATAAGGATATGTAGTGACTCATTTTCACTTGCATTTGCAGTGAAATGCAAGATAAGCAAGCCGAGGTGGATAAAACACAGCAGAGTTTAATGAAGAAAGGACAGCAGGATGACACGACTAACAATATGTAAGTCAGTGTTCGTACCTGAGAGAATGTCAGAGAGGTCAATCTCATCTGACTGGACTCCAATGCTGCTGTTGAAGGCATTCTTACAGGAGGAACCACTGACCTCCAGGTCAAAGAGCACTGG